AGTAAAAGTATTTTCCTTCAGTCTTATAGTATCATCATCCTGAGTTCCTAACGATGTCGATTTTATATACAGCTTCCATATTCGTATCAGGCAATCTTGTGAACAGCTTGCTAGGAAAAGATCTCTACCTAATTAAAAAAGTTTATTATGTTAAAAACATTACATTCTTAAATTTAAGTATAAGACTTTCTCCTCTACAATATGCACATTTTTAGATTTCCTGAAAAATACCAGACTTACACTTGACCTATACTCATTTTTAATAACACTGACAAATATATACACAATGCTAATGAATGGTTATAACATGTGGTGTATTCTGCTAAGTTCTACAAAGAACTTCTCAAGAATGTCTGCATGTGGAATAGTCAGCTTTTAAAGATCAACTCATTTCATTCTCTACCACCCCAATTAGTAGTTAATAGAAGAGATAAGTACCCTCTTTTCTAATTGGGACAATAAAAAAATTTACAGAGAAAATTTAAAATTAAAACACAGGAGGCTACTTTCTTGAAAAGATACACATACTTGCCCCCATCATATGTGCTTCAGCAAAATTTCATACTGACCAAAGGCTCCCCATTCCACGCCTCTTATCCAATCCTCATGTCCACGGAGGAAAAGCACTTCCTGAAACTAGTGAGATAAAAATCATTGGGCTTGGTGTAAGAATTTAATATTTTCATGTATACCATAATTTCATTTGGTCTCAGCCAGTCCTACTAGTTTCTCCCCCCACCCCCACTGGGAACACTATCTGATTAGACATGAGACAAAGGTCTCATTTAGGACTGAATAAATCTCATAATCATCTAAATTGTCTAATTGAGCAATGCTGCGTAGATAACATCTGTAAACCTCCAATATTCTAAATGTTTACAAAGTAAAGTGATGTATGTTGTAACATAATATAGATAAAAGTTGGGTAGTTGGACATTCACAACCATTTTAAACTGTCTTACAGAATGGAAAGAAACAAGTATCTCCATTATTAAATGAATGAGCCTAGAGTTAACCAAGTCTTTCTAGAAATTCCCTCCCCTAGTTTAATCACTCAAAGGGTAGGTAAAGCTCAGAAGGACAAATAAACACTACCAGGCATGTTAGACTTCATTTAAAATTTTTAAGAAAAAACACTACTGCAGCATCTTCCTTCTCTCCTTCCCCCACCTAATGACCTGTCTCCCCTAACAACNATTTGGAGAAAAGAGACGAGAAAAATGCCAGCTTCCTAGAAGTAATACAACTTATTCAAACAAACAGATTAAAATACAAGTTTTTACCCCCAGCCAGCCAGTAAAATTAACAATAAACCATGGAAAGGTTTTGATCAGCAATCATCACACAAACAAACAAAAACTAGAATAATGAAAATCTACGTGAGATTTGACTCTCGCCCCTTACGAAGGCCACTGAAAGATCTTTAGAGCAGGGAGGGAAATGTAGGTAAGACGAAAGCAAAGGAGAAAAGCAAGTTGTGGGGGGAAAAAAAATCACAAGTATAACAGAATCAGACTAAAGAGCTAGCTTACAGTTTTTGAACTTCAGGCCACAAAGTATTCTGTAGAAGATGATCCTCAGTGGGAGGCTCTATAATAAATTTATATCATTGCAATTATTTTTTCTATTTCTTTGCAAATGGTAAAGTAAATTCTATAGCGCTTACTTAGGTCAGCAGTGACAGATACCATACTCTGGGTACTGCTAATTCTATTAAACCATCTGTTTGCCATTTCTTACCAGTAAGTACGGATGGTTGAAAGGCCACCTGGTGATGCTCGAAACCAGTACTAGTTAACAGCTCTTCATCAGCAGGCTGAGAAGCTATATCTCCTAGTTTTAAAAGAAACACATCAACATCATGAATGTAGTCACCATCTTTATGTCTCCTATACATGTCCCATTGTTAAGGCCACCAGTTAGAAAGCAGTGGCACTTCACAGCAGTGTAATTCAAAGCCACAGCCACACGATTCCAAAGCCAAGGGTATTTCTACTACTGCAGTATTTTCCAAAGGTGCTCCTTGGAACACTAGTCAATTCCATAAAGGTTCCTTCCTTTTCCTTTGACCTAACATTTCCCAAACTTTTAAAACAATGGAGCAGATTCTGTGGTTGTGGCGCTCCATGACACACTCTGTGAAAGCTGAACCTATTTCAGGGTCTGCGTGTGTTCAAAGTGTTTATCAGAAAATATGTGATGGAGAAAGACAGATGCATGCATTGTGATTTTTAAAAAAGTATTAGCTGTAATGAACATTAAGTACATGTTATACAAGTGTGTAACTAGAATTTTAAGTACCACTACGGGTTCAATAATTTTCCAGACTAAAGCCTTACCCTGAAAAACAGCTTTATTTGATAATCCCAAAGCAGGGACAGTAGCTCCTTCTGGAAGATCACCGTCTTGCTGGAATAAAAAGTACGATATATGTTTTACAAAACGGAAATAGACTCATAGATACAGAGAACAAACTGATGGTTGCTAGATAGGATGGGGGTTGGGAGTCTGGGTGAGAAAGGTGAAGGGATTAAGAAGTACAAATTGGTAGTCACAAAATAGTCGCTGGGATGTGAAATACAGTATGGG